ATTCCAAAAGCCACTCTCGGTATCTTTCAAGGTCCGCCCTTCTACCCATGACTTCGGGTCTGCTGTCCAACCGTGTCTTTCGTTGTCTAGAATTGACAACTGCAGTATGCTGCCAGATTCTCCCGTTGGCAATGCAGCTATTTGCCATGCCTCGTGTCTACCCTTGGGTGTAATCGAACCGAAGGAGAGTAGGTCGCCGACGAGCGGATCGTAGATCGAAGCCGTGGATGATATGGCAGCAGATACTACAGCTAGATCGGAGAGGACTTCGCCTGCTGCAGAGAGCTGAGGGCGTTCTTCGATGCTGTTGCTGATCTCTTTCTGTACGCTGGTCCTACTCGCTAAGATTTCTGCAGAGAGAGAGAATGCCGGTGTCGCATGATTGCTCGCAGGAGTCGCGTCCTTCGAAGTTCGTATGCGCTTGAACGAGCGTGTGGTGTAGGGCCTAGTAAACGTCCATTCTCTGTTCTCCAAGTCGTAGGTCGCTGCACCAGGATGGCCGTAGTTCAGATCTTTGAGCGATCTGTCAGCCATTGGGCTGTCGTAGAGGTTCTCGATCCGTAACGTCGCTGGAGTATAAACTCATTCTTTGTACGCAGAAAACAAAAGGTCGTATGCGAGAGCGAAGATTCTGTCTGTGAAGGTTGAGTATGCGCCGGACGCGATGATGAAAGTGACCTCGCCAAAAAGTTCCACTAGCGCCAAAAGTCGCGTCGGCACGTGCATGCGCCCCGCTATCGTTCCTGCCGCACTAGCGCGCATGTTTGTTTACGGAGCAACCATCTCATCCGCCCTCATCACCCATTGTCGCATCGCACCCCACCACATATTCGCATATTCTACAAGACACGTCTAAACCAGGCCGCAATCATGACGACCTTTGAGCCCTCCATGAGCACCACGATGCGCGCCTCCTCACACGATGCGCCGTCCATGGCCGACCAACTACCTAGCATCAACTTCGGATTCGATGATCTGCGCAGTCGCATGAACCAGTTTACGACACGATTCGACGCTTTTATCGAGAATGGACGTAGACGAGTACTGGAAGAGCGAAATCAGTTCCGCATGAATGTCGCAGAACTCCATGGTATGACAAGCCCTCATTCATGTGTTTGCCAATCGACTGCGTACTGATTATCGTGACAGAGGACCAACGCATGAAGAAGCGCGATATCGAAATTCTCGAACTGAAGACAGCCCAGCACAGCCAAACAATCTCCAAAGAGTCTCAAGAAACCTCCGAGATGCAGGAAGCCATCTCGGCCCTTACCCTTCAGCGCGACGAGCGCCTAGCCCACCGCGACAGCCTGCGCGCCCAAATCGCCGAAGTGCAAAAGACCATCTCCGCACGCCGCGAAGCACAACTCAAACACCGCCGCTACCTCGATGGGCAAAGTCGGTACAACGAGCCAGAACTCGACTTCTGGGAGAACTATTTGGGGCTGAGGATTGAGGGACTGGGCAAAGACGACAGGTTGAAGTTCGTCTATACCAACGTCGATGAGAGGGAATGGGACCGTGAAGCGTGGTTTGAACTGGATACCAGCGAGCGCGACTACAGAGTGCTAGAGATGCGACCGAAGGTCGAGCGCGAAGAGGTCGAGACTGTCGTGGACAGGCTGAACGAGACGCGCGACTTGGCGGGCTTCCTGAAGGGCATGCGAGAGCTGTTCGTCGACGCATGCAAGTAGTTGCGGGCAAGCAGCAGTCCTGTCGTGATGTCCTTATGTAATTATGCCTTTAGTTTTGATAGATACCCGCAAGCTACTTTTCTTCTCTTCTCATCGACCGCCATTCTTGATTTTGTAGAACTCCGGTGCATACTCCGTCAACCAGTCCATCTCCACTGTACTCATATCCCTAATGTAGATCTTGTCTCTTGTAGACTGAATCTCAGTGTATATGACCCAATCTGCCTTCCTTGTGAAGAACACAGACGTCGGATGAGGCCACAAGGTTGTCTTTCCATCAACGGTCGTGAAGGTTCCATCTGCCTTCATCCTCGCGGCATGTGCAAAGAACCCAGTCGTCAAGCAGCGACGCACGCGCTCGGCGAGTGGTATACCGCCAACCCTCAGCACGCCTGATGAAGCGAGGACATTCTCTTTGACACCAAAACGATCCAAGTAAGCAGCAAGTTGTTTCCGGACGCTGACTGCCTTGACGAGCGACTTGTGGTTTAGACTGTTTGAATGACACCACGTCGTGTTGCCCATTCCAGCTTTCACGAAAGCTTCGTATACATTGTATAGTGTAAGGTGATCACCCTCTGCTACTGCAAATTTCCGTCGCGCAGCATCAAGCTGCTTCTTTCCGCCATCATGGGATACGAAAGCATTGCCTTGCAGAGTCATCATTGCGGCTATTGTGAGCATTTCGCTCAAGCAGCCAAACTCCGGTTCGGCGGCCTTCAATAATGCGCGAGCAAGCATCGGTTCGAGCGGAAGCTCCGCCATACGCGTGCCGAGGGGCTTCGTGAGGCGAGCATGAGCGTCCAACGCACCGAGAGAGTAGAGCAAATCCAGAGCGCGCGTTACTAGTGCTGATGGTGGAGGCGAGAGGTAATCGAACCGCACCACATTCGTGATTCCCAGGTTGAGAAGCTGCAGGATCACAGGTGCGAGATTCGAGCGGGCAAGTTCTGGGAACGTGGCTTCCTCCAAGCTTTCGTAAACGCTTTCAGGATACAGTCTAAAGCATTTGCCCGGCCTCGTCCGTCCAGCACGACCCGCTCTTTGTGTGGCACTAGCTTTCGACACAGGAACGACCGCGAGATTTTCAATGCCTAGACTGGCGTTGTAGGCGCGAAGCTTGACATATCCTGAGTCCACCACAAAGACAATGCCGTCAATAGTCAAAGATGCCTCTGAGATGTTGGTGCTGAAAATGACGCGTCGCGTGTCTTGTGGCGGCTTGGTGAAGATGAGATTTTGGTCTTCTGTTGGCAAGCCAGCGTAGAGGGGCAACGGCATGAGCCTTTGCTTGGATGAAGACATATCAGCAATGCGATCACCCAGCTTGTCGATTGCGTCGTCTATTTCCTCACGTCCTGCTAAGAACACGAGAATGTCGCCTTCGCCCTCGTGCTCGTGGATCTTCATTACCGTATCGATTGCTGCTTCCACGTAGTCGTTTGTTGGTTCCTGTAGGTACTGGATCTCAACCGGATATGTGCGCCCTTCGATGCCAATGATGTAGCCAAATTCTTCCGTGCTTTTGCCATGGACCTTTTCGCCGTCGTCTGGGTTGAAGAAGTCAAGGAAACGTTCCGCTTCTAGCGTAGCGCTACTCACAACGACGCGCAGGTCTTCTCGCTTCCTCAGCACCTTCTTCAGTAGGCTCAATAGTATGTCAGAAGATAAGCTTCGTTCATGTGCTTCGTCGACCATAATGACTGAATAGCGTGAAAGGAGTGGATCGACGAGCATCTCGCGAAGTAACAGGCCATCTGTGACAAACTTCACCTGCGTAGCTGCGGACGTGACATCTTCAAATCTGATACTGTACCCGACTTGTTGACCAAGAGGCGTACCCAGCTCTTCTGCTACCCTTGCGGCTACGCTAGTACATGCTATTCTCCGGGGTTGGGTGATCGCTATTTGCTTGCGGCCATTGCACCAACCGGCTTCCAGCAGAAATTTTGGTATCTGTGTTGTCTTTCCTAAGGCCACATGTCAGCTTTGACCTTTAGTGAGAGATTAGAAAATCTTACCACTTCCTGTTTCACCAACGACAATGGTCACAGGGTATGTCTCTATCGTGTAGAGGAGTTGATCTTTGAGTTGCGCGATCGGTAGCAAAGCGGGCGGTTTGTAGAGACTTGGAATCAGAGCAGACTCAACCTCTTCATCCTCCGCCATGACCCTGAAGTAGAAGTAGACTTAGATGAAAAAGGTAGAGTTGTATCGAAGATGCTGAAAGCATCGAGCGATGTCCGGCCCCGGGGCCTTCTTTGGAGATGGCGCTAGCAGGATGCGCTAGCCGTATCGGGACTTTAGTGCCAGACGATGAGAACCTTGGAAGGAAAGTACGAAGAAGAGTACACCACACCTTGCGTCGCACTCCGCGTCATCCATCCATCACGTATGACACCAGAGCGCTCCTATACGAGCGCTTTGTCCAGAGCTTGTAGATACCTTGTACTGCTCAGGTGATCTGCAAAGAAAGAACGCCCAGCAGTGCCAGCTAGCAAATTTAGTTTTCCATGTGTACAATAAGCCCATACTGCTGTTTTCAATTCATATCTGTTACCTACCAGTAACTGTCACTACTGATCAGCTTTCGGCGGCTCGAAAGCCGCACTCAATGTTGTGTGGGAGGGACGCGGACGCTGGGTAGGTATGATAGACATCATCACAGTCTACCTAGGTACATCACAGCCTCAGAGGCTACGCGTTGAGCGGCTCATTGCAACTGCGCTTCCCATCGGCTGAGATACCAGCACTCTAAAGGCGTATCATAGGTACTGCGATACAGAGGTACACATGCTATACTGAATCTCACAAGGTTCTGCTGCTGATGCATACCTTTACAAGTCAGCTTTATCATGAAGTCATTTTGCATGATCCGACTAGCGGCTCTGTAATCTCATCCTAATACATGGTTTACCTGGTAGACTGATGATTTACAGCGTGGTGCAAGGAATACTGGCTCAGGAAGTGTTCTCTCACCGGTGACGTTGGTAAACTCATGCAGTCAGAGACAAGAATGCCCAGGTGAGGTTAAGCTAAGTGTTTCAACTACGCTGCTTCGATATCTGCCTCCTGGTGTGTTATTTCCTGGTGATCCACTTTCCTTTCCTCATTCTTTACTTTGCTTTTCGCTACCTACTTGAACACATGTCACTGCCTAAAACTCGAGTGGTATAACTTGCGACAATCATCATTTCTGAAGGCCTAACGAGGTCATTTACAGCAAGACCCATCAATCACGGGTGCATCATCGAGGTCTACCAGGCTTGTGCACCAAACTCTCCGCAGCTGCTTACATTTGAACAGATGGCTTCCAATGACAAAGTTACTTTGCAGAACATTCAAGACTACGCCAATGAGTACTTCCCAGAAGAGTTCGCGAAATTGCCCTCGGCCGAAAACTTGGTGTGGGTACCAGCGTCACAGACTCGAACTAGAAGACAGTCGTTCATGAAGATCGCCCTGGTCAAGCTTCGCATCGGCGGATATACGGCTAGCCAGTCAATATGGGCCCACAAAGACCTTGATCAGTCATCTGGAGGAGTATACATGCTATCTGGAGGACGACGAATCCTATCGGTAATGTTACCACATATCGAGGAACTCTGCCATCCATTCAAGGCCGCGTATCGGCAAAGTGGATATTCGTTTGACGAGGGAGGACCCGATCACGGCTTCGAGTTGAAAACTTTGATCGAGTACTACTTTTTGCTGAAGGGTGCGATAACGCCCTTCAAGTATCCGTGGAATTTGTGGAATTTTGAATGGGCGGTCAAGTCGGTCGCCAATGGGGCGCCGCTGAGTAACATTCCTACCGCCAAATTTAGGGACGATGCAGAGATGCGGATGCGCTCTATGCAGTCTATGCTATCCTCTGCACCTCACGCATCAGCAATGTTACCGGCTGATGTCGGTGTCCAAGACCGGAGCTTTGTTCCCATGGAAGATCTGACGTGCACTGTCAAGGATCATACCTCTGAAGAGATTGAAGGAACTGGTAAGTCATGATCAGTCCCATTTGATTGCTTCATGAGGAGTCGTGGCTGACGCGGAATAGGTACAAGAAGACAAGAAGCACACCATACAGACAGGGTATGCGCAATAATCTATAAGTATTTAGGCGAATGAAATTGACGGTAGAACCAGATGAAGAAGCTCTTCAAAGACCAGAAGGATGCGCGAAGAAAGATTGATGAAGACATGGCCGCCACATCAGCCCAAAAAGAGGCACACATGGCAAGAATCCAACTGCTCGAAAATGAGCTCTCTGAGGCACAGGCAGCGCGCAAAGCAAGCGATGGAGCTATGGCAGCTCTGCATGAGCGACACGAACAGATGCAAAAGCTGCTGGACAACAGTCGAATTGAGAACGAAGAAGTGAGAAAGAAGCTGAAGACGCTTGGTACCAGCAGCGTTAAATACGCCCGCCTATGGAAACAGAGGGCGCGAGCAGAACGAGACAGACGGTCAGAGGCGGAAGACAAGCTTAAAGAAGAATGTGCTCGCACAGAAGCCAGGATGCAGAAAGCGCGAGCATTCTACACAAACCAGAAAGAGTTGCTCGAGATACAGGTTGCAGAATGTCCGGAAGAAGAGAAGGAGTCGATTATGGAAGCATTCAAGGCAGAGTATGGAGAGCTTTGCCCAGAATGAGGACAGCGCGAGCATCTGAGATTATCTTGAAGCGGCCGCAATGCTGAGATACGGTAGGTTTGCTAGGATACATTGCGGGGTCCAGATATTTTACTGCGCTGAGCTGAAGATTGCGGTCTTGTTTGGAGTATGTTTGGGTCTTTGGAGCGACTGAGCCTTGATGCAACCTGTATGGGTGTGATGCTCAAGAAACCATAGAGGCGAGATGCTGTATCGGAGCGAAAGGATCAAGACCGATCAAGCTCCGGTAGCGAGTGACAGAGAAACAACAAGCTTAGATAGCCTGAGCTACCTCACTGGAAATAGCAAAAACGTTGGTTTCGATTCCCGTTCTGTGTTGATCGAGCAGTCGCGACTGCTGGGTGGATGACGTCTGACGCTAACACGCGCTTATCGATAGCCCCCTCTAACAATTTCGACAGGGCGCGACTCACAGCCCAGGACACACCCAAATGGCATTTCGCAAGCGCAACATCGCGCTATCTCGCACACCGACAGGCGAAGACGCGTCAAATGCACCATCTTCTCCTTCGATAGCACAACCTGCACCAACACCCCCCGGTGTGCGCCCCTCACCCATCGATGGCCGCCCCACCACGTCGACCGGCACACCTTCGCTCGATGGCATCTTAGCCGGACACGCTGGCCTGGCACTGGGAAACTCGATACTAATAGGCGAGAGCGGGACGACAGACTATGCTGGCGCATTACTGCGGTTCTACGCAGCTGAGGGAGTGGTGCAGGGCCATAGAGTACATGTAGTAGGCATGGGCGAAGTGTGGGGTAGGGAACTACCGGGTATATCAGAAGACAAGTCGGACAAGAGAAAGGAGGGGAAGGAGCGAGCGGAGAAGATGAAGATCGCATGGAGGTATGAAGGCCTTGGGCAGTTTGAGAGTGCTAGAGGTGCGTTGTGTACATATACTGCGAATGCAAGACCATCTATCGAGCAGTTTTGACAAAGTTCTCAACAGGCTCTCCCAATGTGCAGAGGACAGCAGGTCAAGGCGATAGTGCGACAGAAGAGCAGATAGTCTTCTGCCATACCTTCGATCTTGCCAAACGTCTCACGCTCCCTGTAGGAACAGCGATCAACTATGTGCCCATACCTCCACCAACAGGCACTTCGTCACCCTTCCCTCCGATACTGCAAAACATACGGCAGCAGCTCGAGTCGACACCACCACACGCGATCCATCGCATCGTGATACCGTCTCTCCTCTCGCCGGCATTGTACTCTCCGTCAGCGGCCCACCCGACCTCCGTACTCCAATTCCTCCACGCTCTACGCGCGCTACTCCGACAGTATCAAACGCGCCTGACCGCCATTATCACAATTCCCTTGACCCTATATCCAAGATCCTCGGGGCTTGTCCGCTGGATGGAGATCCTCTCTGACGGTGTCGTTGAGCTGTCCCCATTCCCATACTCGCGTGCGCAAGCACTCGCACAATCGGCAGGTACGACGAAGGAAGAAGAACGACCGCAGGGTATGTTCGCCGTTCATAAACTACCGGTGTTTCATGAAAAGGGCGGCGGTGGTGGAGCGGGAGACTTGGGCGAGGACATGGCGTTTACGTTGAGTAGGCGGAAGTTTGTGATTGCGAAGTACAGCCTACCGCCGATGGAAGGCGACACCGAGGCGCAGGAGGAGGCTGTGCGAGAGGCGGCTGGTGGTAGCAAGATGCCGAAGAAGCAGGATCTGGAGTTCTAGAAGGCTCAGATCGGCGGTAGCGTGTAGATGAAGATACCCTGTACAGCACCGAGATGGGCAGTCAAGCCATACTTCTTGTCGAGTGTGCCAAGTTCCTCATTCCGAGTCGCTGTCTTCCCCCATCATGTCTTCCATCTCAATTTGTTCCCAGCCACCAGTGCCTGCTCCCGACCCAAATCCTCGCGTGTAGTTTCGACCGAACGATGCGTTTCGAGGATTGAATGTGACGCCGGCGAATCTTGCGCGGAAGCCGTCGCCCATACAAGACGATGCGGCTAGGAACGCGAGGAAGAAGAGAAACGGGATGAAGAGCAATAGGCTCAGGAGGGCCAGGACGTTCATGGCGGGCTTGTGATGGTGCTGGTGCTGGTGCGGTGAAAGAGAGCTGCACGTGGAAACCTTAAGTTCGAGGCCCCTATGACATAGTGTCGGCGATTGGCCTCATGGGGGCCGAGCCCCTGGCCGCCGTCAACATTTGGGCTACGACTCAACTCGACTTTACCCCTTCTCGCGCCTTACAATTTCAAGAACCATGGATCGCATGTTTAAACTACCACTCGGCGCGCTCCTGCTGCTTTCATGCGCCCTCAATGCCTCGGCGCACGGCGGCGCTGAACATGCGCAAGTCGAAGTCGCAGCAGATGCCGACTGGGCGACGCGACACATGGCTGGTATGAATTTCCCCAGATCCCCACAACATGAAACAAAAAGTAAGGGCCGTTTACTGATACTGTCGCAGAGGAGCATCACATCGCGGGCTACGACGCAACCACCTTCTTCAACATGCACGACTACGACAGTACCGGTCTATGGACTACCGTCGACATCCGCCGAACCTACGGTCTCGAAGACCCCTCCAGCGCCTCCATCTCCGAAATCAAGAAGCAAATGGTCGTCCAGACTATTCTAGACATGTTCGATATCAACAAGGACGGCTCCATCACCTTGGCTGAATTCCTGCAAAAGGATTCCGACAATGTCAAGCTGCCGGACTTTGGCATGGGCCCAGGGCACCACGGTGACGACGAGTACGAGTACGAGATCCATCATTGGGAGAAGTACCACAGCGGCGACGATGTGAAGGAGGAGGACTTGAACCACCCAGAGGACATTGCGCATTTCAAGATGCATGAGGAGAAGGAGGCGGCACAAGAGGAGTGGGAGAGGCTCGAGCTCAGAGGCGTCGTGGAGAAGAACATTCCCCAGAAATACAGGCGGAATTGAGAGGCCCAGTAAAGGTCTCTTGACAGGCGAACGGCGCTAAGGTGGATACAATGAGTTCTTGAATACGCGGAGATGATACCTATGCCAATATACGGCTACCGAATTACAGAGCACTTTTCAGAGCCATTTCTCGAACCACGCAAGTACCTGCTTCTCCGAGTCCTCCAGCGCCTTCCTCTCCTGCGGATCGTCTGGGTTGCCTCTGACCGCGAACCCATGCCTGCCAGGCGTATACGCCTTGTGTTCGATCTCAGGGAACTCTGTTCGCGCCTTCTGTGCCTTCGCATGACATTCCTCCACCTTGCCCTTCGTCTCAAAACTCACAGCGATATCCTCCACGCCCCACGCAAAGCTCGTCGGGACAACAAGACCCTCGACGTCTTCGGGAACAACCAGGTGGCTTGGGTGTAGCGCCACGATCGCATCGACAAGCGGCTTCTTCACCCCATCAATCTCGATCATGTTGCTCTCCAACCCCGTGCGAGCAGCATACTTTCCGCCCCAGCAGAACCCAACCATACCGATCTTCCTCCCGCTCGGCGTCGCTCGCCTCAACTCCCGCATGAAGTCGAGACAAATCTTGTCGGACTCCGCCTTCCCATGCCTCCGCTGCCACATAAGAAACGTTGGCAAACTAGCCAAGATACCCGTATACTTTGCGAATGTACTCTGGGCTGCAGCGTCGACAGGAAGCAGCGCATCGGCGACTTTGAGTCCGACTGGGTCGCCCTTGAAGAAGTCTGGGAGCAGAACTAGATACTCTCCTGAGGCGGCGTAGGCATCGGCAATGATCTTGTTATTGGGGAGACCCAAGCCGAAGATGTCGGAGTATATGCAGATTGTTGCGCGTGGTGAGGTTCGGTTTCCGACTACGTAGACAGAGAGGCCGTGGAGTGTTTCGATGGTGCCTTTGGGTGTTCCAGCGTGGATCGAGCCTTTGATGCACTCTGTCGAGCAAGAGGTTCCTGTTGCCATGATGATTGTACTGGTACGGAGTCTATGCTGGACTCGTGATATTGATTGGTTACAATGTTTCACAAAAGATTTTTGTCAAATAAGCTTTCCACAGTTATGAGCTGCTATCGCTGATCACAGCGCTACCTCCTACCTTTATACACCCTCTGTCCACGGTACACCTTCATCTAAACGGTCTCACCGTCAGAACAAGCATCGTACCAAGCGCTGATAGCGCGATTATTACCCTTTACGTCTGCATGACTCTGTAGCCACCAACTGAATCATATCCCGTTCTCGCCAATCGTAGATCTCATGGATGGTGGAAGAAGTGAGCAGGCTGTTACGCCCGGCCGATAAGGGTCATCACACGCTAAGCCTCTTGCGGCTTTTTGAGCGAGAGCGTCAGCATCGAGACCGCGCGCGGAGAGATTGGTGCGTCCTACACACGGCGTGCGTTGCAGAGGACTTTGACACTTCCAGCTGTGTCTCTTGCACGTTGTCCGTGGATCCGGTCTGCGGCCCTTTCTCACGCGCCTCTTCTCGTACCTCCCGCTTCTAGCGCTCCCAAGGTACCTAGGTAATGTTGTATTGTCACCTACCTGCGATGTTCGATCTTGCATCAACGAAGACGCTTTTTGATCAAAGGATGTCTGCGATACAGGGAAGACATGATTGGCAGGAGTTCAGAATTCGTCGCGAAATCTAACGTCATGCCCCCCGACTCTCGCCCTCGATGCCTCCAGGGCTGGCGGTACCGGCACGCAACCACCCCATCGGCCTGTCGAGACACGGTTGCTACATTGAACGTGAGATGTATGAGAAGTGCGCTTTCGACCTATTGCATAAGCCTAAGACTGACTGGAGTCGGCATCCGCTGGAATGCTGGGTCGGTACGACAGAGCCTTGGAAATGTTCACGGGTCTGCAGGGTCTACATCACGTGCTTGCCGTCTGCCTAGGAACCGACATACACATAAAGACCAGATTTTCCCGCGGATAGTCGGCAAGCTCTTCAACCCTCTTATCTCTACAAAGTCTCAAGTACACCTCGTCTCACAGCAGCCAGCATGGTCGACAATGAGAGTCCTGCCTCTATGAACGGACGCAAGCGTACTGACCAGCTAGAGCAAACTATCGGAGGATGGAGAACCTCTGCTCTACGGGCAATCGATAAAAGGATCGCGCTCTACAACCCCAAACTCACACATCAAAACGCCCCGCCCGCTACGTCGTCAGCCTCACCACACACACGCTACAGCGAATCTCACCGCGCTCTTGATGTTGTCGAGATACTGGAGCAAATCCTTTCTCACACCTCACCCAGAGCTCATTATAAAGCATTTAATGTATCAAAACGTTGGAGAGAGATCGTTGTCCACATGTTGGGAACGCAATACCATTTCCCATACCCCTGCCCACCTGTCGAATACGGAGACACTATTCCATCGGATCTGGACTGGCTACAGCCACCCGAGGATGAGGCTACAATCTATCAGAACGCTATCAACCGCACGCCGGGTAGCGATCAAAACATATTGATATATCCTTTCATCACGGCGCTGTGGACGCAAGCACGTATATTCCCACAGCCAGTGCTTGATGGTATTCGTAAGATGGCCTCCATGCAGTCTGGAGACCTATCGGACTTTCCCTCTGGATCAGTCAAATCTCGATGGATGGATTTATCCCAGTTCAGGGTGAATCCATACTTTGTTGAGTTATTCGGTGATTGCTTTCGATCAACCGAGAGCAGCTACACTATCATCATCAAGCCTCGCATACTGGAATATCTGGAACAACTGGAGACGGTCAAAGGAACAGTCCGCGAGCAGCTCGTTCACGGCATGTATCTTACCCAACCTCCATGCAAAGTCTTGCGAACATACGCGGTGAGTAGGTTTTCCGACGGACTACAGATGATAGGCCAAGTACACGAGACGAATGGAGTCCGCATTGGAGATCTTTTGCACACGTTGCAGGTTGATCGGAAGTTCTCTAAAGCAATCGACCAGTGGCGTACTCGTTCCGAATATTTACGGAATGCCATTGCAGATCATACGCCAGATGTGTTCTCACTTTCGGATGAGGAGAAACTTTGGGCTTGTCCTGGCTTTCCGAAGCTTGTCATCTTCTTCGAGGCTTCAGAACAGCCACATCCGACATTCGCGCAAGAGCTCTACGACATTACCCAGTGCAGGAAGAGCGCGCACAAGAAGGAATGGCATGAGTACATTCAGAAGTAAATGATGGTTGATATAGGCCATGCAGAGCTACGAGACTTCATGTGGCCATATTGATTTGGCAAAATTGCGAGTTGTTCAACATGCATTTGAACTATCTAGCCCCCTTGGGACTGACTCGCAAAGAGCCTCATCGCACTAGCCTATTGATGTATGCAACTCCTTCGGCTCTATCGTCGTCATCCTCGATATAGCTTTGGTCTTTTCGGAAGACAAAGTTGGTCGCATTGGTGGCATAGCTTGGCCATTCGGGAGTTTGGGATACTGCAACACGCGTTAGTGTACTCTTACCCACACAATGAAAGACATTCAAACTTACCTCCATGACCATTAGGATCAAGATCGTACGCGAAAGAAGTCCACATGCGCATGACGAGCTTCGACAATGCAATGTTTTCGGAGCTATTGCCCAATGGAGTGAGTTGCTGTTCTGGGTTGCCAAAGACGAAGGGTATCTGTTCTAAGGTCAATTCTACAGCCCATCTCACACCCCACTGATAGCATAGTACTCACCTCAGAGAAGTGATTAACGCCGATTGTTTCCGGTGTGTTGTTGAACTTGGGCGCATCCCATCGATACGAGTAGACGTGATCGACATGTTCGCTCATGCTTTGCGCGAGCAATCTCCGAGGAGCATACATGGTCAGATCAGTTGCGATACTTTGGTAACGTTTGTATTGTAGCCCAAACTGCGGCCATGTGCGATTTCCCCATCCGTACGGCTCGCCGAGTGTAGGGTCGTTCGGGTACAGCTCGAGAAGTTTCTCCGCGACAGTCTCGTTGACGTTCCAGCGTTTGGAGTGTACGAGTTGATTGATAGCGTCGGAGTCGCTGTTCACCCCGTTCACACCAAAGCCTTCGTCGGTGTTGGTGCCGAGAATAAGCGGAATTTTCGCAAACTTGCCTTCCCGCAACGTTTGTTGACCGTATCGAGGTATCAAGCCACCGTCTATGACGTGAAACCATTCGAGACCTTGGTACCCGTAAGGTGCGATGGTCTCGTAGGATACGTCACGCAAACACTGAAGCGTATCTTCGGCACCCGAGCAGCCGACCGACTCAGTCAGATTGTTGTACATGTGCTGGTACCAGTCGGTGCCATTGAGTGGCGCACCAACAGCATTACCGCTTTCCAGAATGGCCGCGCGGAACAGACCCTCGTTTTCGCCGTTGTATGCAGCGATGTGGTCACCAACGGAGTATGCGCCCGCTGATTCTCCCCAGAGTGTGACCTTCTCGGGATCACCACCGAAGGATGATATGTGCTTGTTCACCCACTGCATCGCGAGTCGTTGGTCGCGAAGTCCTAGATTCTGTGCGCCGGCGGCCTCAACTTCCTTACTGTACAAGAAGCCAAATGCTGCCATGCGGTAATTGATCGAGATGCCGATGACGGGCTTGTTGTTGAATACTGATTGCTCAACGATGTAGCTCATGTTGTATCTGGCGTTGATGAGTATTTCATCCCAAATGCAGTCACTTCAGACAGCTTACCTTGGATCACTAGTAGCACCCTGCTGCCATCCGCCTCCGTATATCCATAACAATATCGGGAGATCTGTCTCATTTGTCCTTGGCTTGACGATGTTCAGGTGTAGACAGTCTTCTCCCAGTTTTGTCCAATTGGCGGCAACCAGGGTGTTTGTGTCTCCACCGTATCCAGTGCAGTCAACACCGTACTGCGTGGCATTGTGGTATGTTGTGGACGAATCCAGTGCTAATTGAGCGGGAGCGAATCGCACTGGCTTTGGAGCATACTTGATCCCTAGAAACAAGTCTTGGTCAAACTCCTGCAAGAAACGTCCTTGGTATATGCCGGCCTGCGAATGAACGATCGGTGGCGATGCGAGAACCGGAGTGGCGAAGCACACAGCGGCCAACCAGGATCTTCGAAGTCTCATGGCGGAAGGATCTGAGAACTTGCGCCATGCTTGCAACGCATATGCATTCGCTCATATATAACAGCTGCCATCTGAAGCCTCTCTATGAGGATGTACGGAAGCGTCGTTCCTGAAGATCCACCAATGAGAAATATGAGCACATCGCCGTCTACATAACCGGTAGTCATTTGCCGAGCTGAATCACTCCAGAATTGTTTGCGATCTTGGCATTGCAATTGTAACTTGGTAGCCCGGGCAAAGCGCACCGGAGCAGCCGTGAAAAACGTGTCAGCTTTACGAATTGGATAAGTCGCGTATGCGGTCCCTGATACGATCACATACAACTGCGAAGCCGGTCAGCAGAGTCAGGACGATGGTGATGTCACATTAGCCGGCGAGTTGATACATCTCGGTTGATGCATATTAATGGCTAGTCCGGGGTAGATATTCGCTCCACATTACCCCGCAAGCATCACGATGTGCCGTGCATAAGGCACCGTGCGCAGGTCATTCAACCGGAAACTTGGTCGAAGTCCGGACAGGGTGGACAAAATATCACAAACCCCAAGACCCGTGTCCGGAATAATTGACTTTCCGCCCTATTCGAAGAGACTGGCTGGACAGTAAAGAGGCCGTTAACGAAAACATGGAAATAAGCCTTGGGATCAATTTAAGCCGAAACCAAAGAAAGCCCTGCGACTCTTCACGTGACTCACATCCGTCACGCAGAGGCCCTCATAAGCCATGTTCTCTTTCAGTAATGTGGCACCACATTTGGTCTTGCAGGAAGACGCCGAAGTAATTCTTTGATCTCCACGGTTTCTCTGGGCTTGCAAGAGACCAATCGAAATGTCGTAGGAACTAGACGCAAGTCAGCATAGGAACTCCGTACGAAACTCTGGAACAACGAACCTCGAAGATAACCTTCCTCATCTCCAACCATGCTATAGGCTTCCCGAGACACTGGTACTTCCCATACCCGAAGATCATGTCTGTAGTACGGCGCATAGCGTTCAAGCGCTCAAGCTGGATCTCGTTGTGCTCATCGAGTAGCCAACGTTCCGGTCTGAAGCAGTCGACATCCTCACCAAATATCTCCTTGTTTCGATTAAGACCCATTACATTATACCCAATGTTAGTACCACCAGGAAGGAAATACGCTTTGCCGTTGACTGTGACAGTGTCGCCTTCGACGGGTACCTTCTTCGGAGCGATATCAGTGACAGGTGGATGAATTCGAAGTCCTTCACGCATTACGGCTTGTAGGTATGGCAGGCTCTTCATCGTCTCGTCAGACACGATACCGGTCGAGCTAGCAGCATGACCTGAAGTAACGGCAGCGTCAATCTCGGCCTGCAGCTTTTTGTACGCCCTATGGCTGGTCATCAGGTAGAGCATCGTTCCACGTATAGCAGTCGCAGTCGTGTCAGATCCTGCTAGAATGGTGAGCATCGACTCAGTCACAATATCGTCGCGTGTCAATCCGTGGCGTATGAACGACGAAAGCATGTCCGAACGACTATTGGTGGGCTTCTCCAGACGCGAATCGATGAGTTCCCGAGCTACCGTTCTCATCTTTCCATAACCACTCTTGTCCTTGTCTGAGGGCCCGAGCATGCGCGCGATGGGCGGCCAGTGGAGGTAAGGTGTCAGTCCAAGGGCCCCGGTGAAGACCATAATTGCCAATCCGACTCGACCAGCGCTTATATAATCGTCGAGATCAGCATCGGCTTTGATGTCCCCAAACGCTTTACCGAAGCCGATTTTGCTGATCACGTCGAGAGTAAGATACTGAATCTTACTGGCGAGATCCACCGGCTCGTGCCGCGTAGCAGTCGAAAGATACTTTGATCTGATCAGGTCCAGAAGCTGGTGTATGTGTTCGTCCATGTCAGATTCCAGGGACCAATTCTCTTTGCCTGAGTACCCCGACGCCATCTGTTGGCGCCGCTTCGTGTGCTGAGCCTCGTCGAGTTGGCTAAAAACATGGTCCTTGCCAACCTCCATCCGCACGGCACTGTTGTACCATGCTGTGCGAGTGTACGGCGAGCGCACGGCGTTCATATGGGCCAGCAGATCTGGCGACGATGTTAAGAGGTCGTTGGGACCAATGCGAGCGAGGGGTCCTGTAGTTCGGCGCTGTCAGCAAGGGGCAAGCGGGCCGCACAGGGGCAAGACGGCGCCCCTCCCGCGCAGCGACCTTGGGACTTCCACCTATCTACTCACCATATTCATCGCCAACGGCTTTGTACCAGAGATGCGAATGTCGACTCAGTATCGCGCGCATATGCAGCAGTTCACACCATCCCGAGCTGATCGGACCAGGGAAGGCTCGAAGGCGCCGGTAGCGAACGAAGGTCGCCACAGCATAGGCCACAAGAATGACCGCTACAAGTAGCCATTTCGCCGCGTAGAGCTGCGCAAACAAAGACATGATGAATATGCGATATGCTCACTCAAGAAAACGGACACGAGTCAGGCTACTAATGAACCTTCCTGTCCGAGCGGGGTCGCTCGCTCCTGCACGCATCTCACCACAACCGCATGCTGCGATGCACAGCAACGCTTACGAAGTCTGACTTACAACGGAGATTAGGACCAATGAGCATTTCATACCGATCACGAGCGGTCCACACGACCTGCAGATGCCAACGCGCACTATCGAGTGCCAATGACACGAGCGTTCGGGTGGCACAGCAGCATAGCAACGCGATAGCAGCGACATAAGAGAAGACGCTCGCTAGACCATCGGGGTGATACCTTTCGAACGGACAGCTATGATTCCACGAATTCTATCAGTTGGATTAGCCGTCACTTGCGCTAATGCGCTACCACACGCTGCTTTCAAACGCCACATCTCAGAGCTTCGTCCTAGCTATGACTGGGTGGTATGCGGTGGCGGCACCGCGGGTCTAACAGTAGCTGATCGACTTACTGAGGCTTTCCCAGAGAGTAGGTTCTCACATCCGTCTGGAAAAATACTTTTGGCTGACCTCCATCGCAGAAACCGTGCTGGTTGTTGAGTACGGCGAAGTCGGATATGCGCCAGGGGCATTTGATCCGCCAAGCCTCGTTTGGGGCGGGCCAACTGACAAAGCGGGATACTTCACATTCAACTCAGT